TGAAATCTATATGGGACTCGTATAGTGTGAATCTCACACCTATGTGAGACATTTGATAGAATATTTAAAATTCCTAACATTTCTCTTTGAATACCAAATCGCGCGAAAAGCATAGTCAACTTTTTTTTCTTTTTTCTTTTTCTCATTCAAGACTAATAGTTTAGAATTATACAAAACAAAAACAGAGGAGGTACTCTGTCTCTCCTCCAGTTAGCACAAACCATATGTAATTAATGAAGTAAAGATCCCTGCTCGAAGTAGTAGAAACCATATATATAATTCATAAAATAAAGACACAGCGTGGTGGACCAAAAAAACATAGTTAACTTAAGTATCAAATTGTCTTTTTCTGGACCACAATCTTATAAATTTTCTCAGTGGAGGACTGGACTTTGTTATTTTAAGGTTGTTATCTTTTTTTTATTTCTATTTAAAAGAAAAAAGAAAAAAAAAAGGTGATTATCGCTTTTACATTGGTGAAGGATTAGACCGTGTTAATGATTTTTCTCATTTGGAAATGACTGAACCGTTTTGTTCAAGTTCATGACTTTTCTCATGGGATTTGCTATCTCTTTTATTTTTCAAATCCTTGTGTGTGAATTATTTATAATAAAAATAAATAAATAATTTTTACACTAGCAATTTCTATATTTTGATCATTGTATTATTGTGGTATTTGTAATTTTAATTGGTTTAATTTTGACTATGAATTTATAATGTTGTCTTGATTTAATCTAATTGACTACAATTGTTAGTATTTTTTGATAAAAAAATACACACATACGCAACATGTATTATATTTTTATAGACAAAATTATAAATTTGTTAATTTAGTGAGCTAACCTCAACTACTTTAGTAATTATTTTATTTTTTAAAAACCCTAATCAATATTGTCAATTGGACTAAATTGACAAAATATTTAAAATTAAGAGTTAAAATTGAGTTAATTAAAATTACCAGGACTAAAATGATACAAGAGATAAAATTTTAAAATTACCGATGCAATTTATTCTATTTTTTAATTTATTTTAAAGATGACTTATGGACAAAAATTAAAAAATAAACAATTGGAATAAAGAGAAGCATATCACTTCTCATTGATAATGTTCGATTCCACTTATGTGCTTCTTCCGTAACATTCAAAAGTAAAATTTTTGAAGCTCGCAAAAGTTATTATAACTTTATTCATAATGTTGTGTTAAGATATATTTAATTTTTAATTTGTTATATACTTGATGATGGTAAACTTAACTCTCATTACACACTCTAATATTAATCTATCTAAAAAATCGCTTTTAATTTTTTGACCCATTGAAAAATGCGCGAGGGTACCAAAAGCCAACTTACTCTATAGCACCCAAATTAAGACGGAATCAGAATTTTATTTAGGAGGGTGCCAAGTTGACACTAATCAGAGATTTTAGTATATAGTGTGAAATAATGTTAAAAATTGAGTAATGTTGGAAACTCATATATGAGATTTTTAAATATACCTCTAATAGCATGGAGAGGAATTAGAGCTTCACATTATTGAATATGTGACAAATCAAAAGTTGACATCTATCATTTTATATCATTGTAGGTGAAATTGTTGGAGTGTTATTAGGAATCTCAAATATTTTCTTTACGCTCTGTTTGGTTGTGAGATTTGGAGAGGGTTTTGGAAAAGAAAAGGAAAAATATGTATGAAATTAGGTGAAATGTAGGTATATTTTATTCACGTTTCACTTATCTTTTCTATTTTTCTTTCCAAATCCATCCTCAAGTCCCTCAACCAAACATAATATTAAAGAATAGTGTTTTGAATAGATTAATATTAAGTTTTTGTTTGATAACGGAATTAAGTAGTTGAAAATATTTATATATCAATTATTTTGTAACTAGTAGTATCTAATTGTGTAGAATTACTTACCCCCTATTTCAAAATTAATTTATATTCAATCAAACAAAATATATCTAAATTAAATATTTTGAATTTTAATTTTTATAGTAAAAAAAGTTTATAATTTTATATATTTCAAATAATGACAAAATAATTTATTAGATTTATTTGTTATTTACTAAAAAAACTTATTAATGAATTTATGTAATACAAAACATCAATAAACACATGATCAATGGTTTAAATTCTTTTCCACAAAGAAGGCAAACCCCTTAGAGCATCTGCAATGGAACTCTCAAAACACTTGTCAAAGTTATAATTTAGCAATAGTGATAAAAAATGGGTCTCCAATGGCTTGTTATTTTACTTGTCAAAGATGACATATGCCATATCTGTTCTCAAATTTGGCAAGTAAAATAGCAATTGCCAAACATGCCACATCAACAAATATGAACATATATATGACTCCAAATTCAGTTGAAAAAACAGAATTGAAACAGTAGAAAACCAAGTAATTTTTCAAATTTAATTTTTCTATTTAATTTTTTTTTTCTAATTTTTTTTCATTTTTTATATTTGTCTAGTCAGGAATAATATAAATATATAATTTTTTTTTTACAAATAGTTAAAAAAAAGGTGATAAAAGACAAAAAATAAACAAAAATAAAATCACAAAAAAACTTATATCCAAACAATACCTACAAACTTGGAGGGAAAATTGGTTGAAAATTGCCAAAATAGCAAGTGACTATTGGAGCACTTTTACTATAATTTGACAAAATAACACTATTTACTGTCAAATTATAACAATAATAATGATACTATAGTAACAACCATTAGAGATGCTCTTAATTCAGGTCGTTTAGAATTCCAAACCTCTTAAGCAAATCAGCTACTTTTTAACTCTCTCATTCCAAACCACCCAAAAAAATTGAAACTAGGGCCTTTTGGTTTTAGAATTTGGTTGGGGGAGATTGTTAGTAAAAATTAGAGTAAATTTCAAATATATCTCTTAAGATTTAATTAAAATATGAATCGTCTTCCGTAGTTTTAAAAATTATATTCCATCTCCTGAGGTTTCTAATTTCATAACAAATCGTCTTTTTTATTAATAAATCATGAGGTCAATTAACAGTTTTTAATGATGTCAGAAATATATTTTAATTAATAATTTAGGTAATTTTATTATTATATAGGAGAATAATTATGAATTTTATTTTTTTAGTTAATTCTGTTAAATAAAAAATTCTAACAAATGAGTATTTGTAATTTTTCAAACCACAAGAGGCAATTTATATTTTAAGCAAACCTCAAGAAGTGTATTTGTAATTTATCCTAAAAATTATTAGATTATTGTTTAGTTTTGATTGATTTTTTAAAAATTGAGTTCTTTGTTTCTTTTTCTTTTTCTTTTCTTTTTCTTTTGTTTTTGTTTTTAGTGAATTTTTAAAAATATTTTAAGTAAAATTCTCACTTTATAGATACACCTAAAAAGTAAAATATTTAAAAAATTCAATAAATATACAACAATACAAAAACATACTGACTTTTTGTATTTTTTTTATACATTTTATTGTATTTGATGAATATTGTAAAGATTTTTTTTTATAGATATTTATATTTTTTTAGTGTATGTAGGTTAGGTGCAGTGAAAAAAAAAATGTACTAAAACTAAAAAAAATCGAAAAGCAAAAAAACTCAATTTTTTGAAAAGTAAGCTTAATTTTACGAAACCAAAAAAGATTAAGAACACTTGTGTTCGTTTAATGACTACTGGACTAGTAAAAATTCTTATTTGTTTTGTCATTCTATGATGTGATTTACTATATGAAATTTCATAAATATCTTTGGTGTTTTTGATATATTTTAATATTAAAAATTATATTATTTATATGGGAGATTTTTTCAAATATTCTATTTCTTCTATATATATATATATATATATTGGTACTATTTGTTTTGACATATTATTTTTTCTTGATATATTATTTTTTTGGTATAAATATATTTATTACAGTATTAGAGGAACTCTAATTATACTCTTTATTTTTTTTACTAGCTAAAATATAAAAAAAATATGCTCTTTATTTTACCTAATTCCTTTTTAATCTAAGTACTCTAATGCTATTTTTTATTTTATCCATTTATCTACATAAACTTGCTTAAAGAGTCTCACAAGACTACCTAAATGTAGCAAGAATTTTGTTAAAACAGCTATTGTAATAGTAATCCTATGAAGTGACCAAAATAGAATCATACCAATTATAATAGCTAACAAGCTTCTTTTAAAAAGCTTATTGGAGATGCTCTTATACCTTAATATTAAAAATTAGTTTTATATTAAATTATTTTTATAAAATGAGAGATAAGATAGTCATTTCATCTCTAATCCAACGGGATAGTGTTAAGATTTTTTATTCTAAAGAATTTAATATTTTGACAATATCTTTTTTGACAAAACTTAGGTTAAATTTGAGAAGACTAAAATAAGTGCGCTTTTTGACTTTTTATGAAATATAAGTTGGATTTAGGTTGGGTTTGAAGTGATGTGTTAGAGAGGTGATGTGACTTAAATAAGATGATATGACTTAAATAGAATAATGACTTTTTAACTTTTTAAATTTTTTGAAAGATGCTAACCTTGGCCTTAAATAAGATAGTCATTACTTTTCTTCGCATTCCGCGATGGAACATCGCTCCTGCGACCTGGAGGCTCATCGGTATCTAAATGTTATACACTTAATTTATTAATATACATTTTATTAGTTTATTTATTTATTTTATTTTATAATTTTATGTATTTATGTATGTTTTAAATGTTTATACATAAAATTGTTATAAATAATGTATTTTAATATTATATTATAAAATAATAATAAATAAGTAAATAAAAATCTTTCAATCCCACCGTTATCATCATGTCTATTCAACATCGTCACTATATACATAATAATAAAAAGTAAAGAAAAATGAGAAAGAAAGTTTGCCTACCAACTTTTTAAAGAAAAATGAGAAAGAAAATTTGCCTATAATAAAAAGTAAAGAAAAATGAGAAAGAAAATTTGCCTACCAACTTTTTAATTATTGTTTATTTTATTATGTGCTCTTGTTTCGCAGGTCTACAAATTGAGGAGATTAGGTGAGGCATGGACACAGAGGGAGAGAGGATAGTAGGAGAGATGGGAAAAAAAAAATTAGTAAGAGAGTGTAGAGTGTTACTTTTGTAGAGTGATAGTTTCACAATTATGTGGAACTAATTTTCTAATCTTAGGATTAAGATGAAACTCTAATCAAGTGATTGAAGTAGTTTGTATTTAGTTTTATAAAATTATAATTGATTTGGGTACGGTTGTATAACTTAATTTTTTGTACAAATATTGTTTTATCAAATTATGTGTTTACTGGCCATGAATACATTTTATACAAATAATTTTTATGCTTGTGTAATAAAATTGTTAGACAAGTCATACCTAATAAAATAGGTCGTGCATTAACCTTAGTTTAGCAGTGACGATTCGTGCTAAGCGAAGATAATTTGTGACTTTCTGATTTTAAAACACAAATCTTTTTAAGTGATGTGTCCCAACCAAAACACATCGTAGTAATCATTTCAATGATTTTCTACAATCTAAACACGAACAACCCCCAATTGTAAGATTAGTAGTGGATTCTAACCCCTAAAGTTTTCATTTTCTTATTTTCCATCCTCCAACCAGAAATCTTTAAATTAAAGTCAACTTTCATAATTTCTATAGTTCGACATCCGTTCTAAACTGCTATATTTCGGAGTAGTGGTTATTACTCGATTTAATTAATATATTTTGGTGTGCAAACAACCATATCAATTTTTTGGTATTGTTGTCGGGGATTATTAGTGAATTTAAAAAATAAATAAATAAATAAAATTTGAGTTTGGTTTCCTTTGCAGAAAAAAATATATAAAAAAATAAAAAATAATAAAAACAAAAATAAAATTTTGATACCGTGACCCAAAAAGGTGATACACATCTTAAATATATAATTTGTGGACTATTTACCTTTGTTGGATACTTGTGGATTAATTACCTCTATTAGACATAAAATTTGGAGGACAAATAAAGACTACTGACTACTAACTTCTGATTACTAACATTTTTTTCTCTGTACATTTATTTTCTATTTCATGGAGGTCCTATACCCCCTTTTATTTTACCTTACTTTAATTTATTGTATTTCTTTTTTTTTGGCCTACCGCGTACTTGGCTGGTTTATATGTGTTTTTGTACATTAAAAAAGAAAAGAAAAGAAGTAAGTGTTGTATGCATGGTTGTTGCTCTTGTCATCCAAAATTAGTGTACGACCCTAATCTATAGCGGAACCTTAGAAATCTTCAAAAATCTAAACCGACTTTAGCAATGGCTGAAGCATTAGAAGATCAACTTAGGCTACTGAAGGTGCACTTCAGACCAACTATCGATGCGTCAACATCTTGCATTCAATTGCCAACTATCAACATGACCCATTATGAAATTAAGCCGACCATCATTCAAATGCTTCCATCCTTCCATGAGCTTAGTAATGAGGATCCCTACAAGCATCTTAGTGAGTTTTCAAAAACTTGTTCTGTAGTGAAATTCCAAAATGTCACTGATGAAGCCCTTAGGTTGAGACTTTTCCCCTTTTCACTTAAGGACAAGGCCAAATACTAGCTAAAATCCTTACCCGCAAATAGTATCACAACTTGGGGCCAAATAAGGCAAAAATTCTTGGATAAATATTTTCCCATTGGGAAAACCAATCAGTTAAGGTGTGTCATCCACAATTTTTTCTCAAATTGATGGTGAGCATTTCTGTGAGACTTGGGAAAGTTTTTGTGATTTACTACATTAGTGTCCCCATCATGAGATCGTCCAATGGCAACTTGTTCACATCTTTTATTCTGGTTTAACTAACTCATTTAAGAAAATGGTTGATTCAGCTTGTGATGGGACGTTTATGAATAGAAGTGACGTAAAGGCTTAGGAGTTGTTTGAAAATCTGAGTGAAAACTCTGTGCACCATGTGTCTACCTCTTAGCATGAAAAGCAACCAACCCTAGTGGTACGAAGCGAAGTGGTTTATATGAGGTAAGTCATAGCGTTGATATTGCTCATCAAGTCAAAATGTTGTCTAAAAAAATGGATCAACTATTAGCAATAGGACACATTTTTTCCAACCCACACAACCTCCTTACCAAGGGGCTTGCTCAATTTGTTTAAGTCCTATGCATTGTGAGACTGAGTGTCCATCAACACCTCAATGTCCCAAATTAGATTCAGAGCATGTCAATACGGTCGACAGTTTCTCTAAATCAAGTAATGTGTCATTCTCGAACACCTATAACCCGAGATGGAGAAACCATCCAAATTTTTCTTGGTGTTCACAATCACAAGGAAATTCCTATGTTCCACCTCCAACAAGGCACAATTTTCAAAATTTTGCTAATCCACCTCTGTACCATCGTGTGTCTCAATAGTCATACCAATATCCCTAGGAAAAATTTACCTTTTGAGGAAAATGTGTTACAACTTTTGTAGGCTACAAATCAGCTTGTCCATTCTCATGGTCAGTCCATTGCAAAACTTGAGACCCAAATTGGTCAAGCTCAAGACCCAGAAACAATAGTCTTTTCCCGAGACCACCATGTGAGCTTACGACACCATATGTGCCAAAAACACCGTTTCCCTAATGTTTAGGCAGCTACTGAAGCAACGATGGAGGTATTCAAACAAGTGAAAGTCAATCTTCCCTTGTCGAAAGTGATTAACACAAGTACCCTCCTATGCCCAATTCCTCAAAGACTTGTGCACACAAAAGCGTAAATCCAAGACCCATGTGACCAAAAAGATTCTACTCACTAAACAAGTGAGTTCTATTATGACCAACAACACTGGCCCTAAGTTTAAAGATCCAGGTGCACCTACAATCTCTTGTATTATTGGTAATCACTTGATTGATAAGGCACTTCTTGACTTAGGTGCCTGTGTAAATCTTCTTCCATATTCGGTGCATGGGGAATTTGGGCTTGGTGAGTTGAAACCCACATCAGTGACTCTTCAGTTAGCTGATTGTTCCCTTAAAACTCCTCGTGGCATACTTGAGGATATCCTGGTTAAGGTCGACAGGTTCTTGTAGCTTGGCTTTTCGTGCTCCCTTTCAGAAGAATGAATAGCCCGTACCGTTCGGACTCCACTTGTGGGTTCTGAATTTGATTACACAAGTGCAATGTGAAACAGTGGAAACACAAAAAAAGTCCAAATCTGGCAATTTCTTTTGAAAAATCGATGTTTTGAATCAAATGCCAAAAATGGACTGCTTTGCCAGATATTAGAGTTACCACCTAATTATTTATTTTAGGAAATTTAGGAAACTCGTGACTCGTGCCGAAGGCCATTAATCCGTTGTTACCAAAGTGTCTTGGTTCGGGAACTTAAGTATGAGAGGGAAAGGTCATTAATTGAGCACCCCACTCACCCGATCAAAGATCGGCCTCTACTAATCATAATGTGATTCTTATGTACAGTATATGTTCTTATTTTGTTTTTAACATACAAGTATAAACTAATTTCACTAGAAGTTGGAACGTTTGATTTCATGTTTGTTTTGAAAAAGTGTTTTGAATATGTACCACTTGAAAAGTGATCTCATATATATACAATAATTAGAGTATCCCAATTTCAGTGAATAGCCTTCATCCACAGGCATTCAAAAAGGTATATCAAGTAAGCAGTTAGCCTCATGGTAGTATGTTTAAAATGACAGCAATCACCCTCATGCAATATGCCAAAGTAAAAATGCTTACCTTATGTCTGAAGGCGAGTCAAAAGAAAGCAAATAGTTAGAAAAAAACGCATGATCCTAATTAATGCAACATGACTAATGCAACACATACAACGTACAAGTAATAAGCTTGGCTACTAGCATGGCATGCGAGTCAATTCAAGGCATGTGATAACGCACAAATTCAAGTAAAGAGTTTGAATTTGACATTTGAATAATATGATGAGTCGGGCTTTTATGCATGCAAAACGAATGGATGCAAGTCATGGAAATGCTAATTTGAAAATATGATGTCCCTATGCTAACCATCATAAGAAGATAAATAAAAGGGAGAAAGAATGGGGGTTCGAAGACATACAACTTATTACATATTTGTCCTCGCGAAGAAGGGTCTGAATGTCCAAGTGTCCGAATAAATAATTATTACAAATTCGAATGAATAATAATGAAAAGGGGCTGTCTAATTTATTACAACAAATATGAAACGATTGAGCGATGCTCCTCAGGAATTACTCTGTCTGCCTTGTTGGGAATTGTTTTGTTTCACCCTATCATTACTTTATACCAAAAGTGTACTATTTGCAATTTATTGGAGCCTTGCCGACCCAGAATACGACTCAGCCAAACCCCAAATAAATCCAATCATACCTTGTTTTCTTGCAGAAATCTATTTTTTTTTTGTGCCTGAGGTGAAACAGTGCAGATAGGGTATTCCTAGCCATGTTTGTCTCTTCTACCCGTCTCTATCATAGAAAATACTCAAGAGAGGAGCGAACTCAGTTCCCAAACCATCTATGGTTGCAAGTTAATTTGCAAGATGATTTTGAATGGGATAAGACAAAGATCAATAAATGCAATGCATAGTAACCACCCCTCTCTCCTATCATGAAGTGAATTCAAGAAGGGAAGTAGAGACGCTTCAAGGTTCATCAAAATATCATGAATTGATGTAAGACAAGCCTTGACACAATAGACTCCAGTATAACGTCTGGCCGTAAAGACGCTTCAAGGTTCATCAAAATATCATGAATTGATGTAAGACAAGCCTTGGCACAATAGACACCGGCATAACGTTAGGCCGTAAAGACGCTTCAAGATTCATCAAAACATCATGAATTGATGTAAGACAAGCCTTGACACAATAGACTCGGTATAACATTTGAACGAATCCAGTATTAGTTCTTTATGTCGGTTGTAATCCAATTAATCGATTTTATTAGCCATTTTTATTACCTTTCTATTTCTTTATCTTTTCTCCTTTTTGTTCAAAAGTGATATTTACGTCCACTAAGTCCAAAAGATAATAAAGAGAAATAAGCATCAACTTAACCCGAGAAAATAAATCTTATTTTCTTTGGGGGAAATTACAATGG